AAGAAAAGCCCAAATACGACGCTATCACGTTTATTTCTGCGTTCTATCGCCGTAGGCAACGAAATTTTTCCGATTTGTAACAACATATTTCGTCTTATAAATGCCGATACCGCGAAAATAGCTGCGAACACATGGTCACACGCGACAAACGTGTTTCCGATCACGCGTCTGCCCCGCAATATCTGTGTGCTCTGATTAACGGAGCAATTACGCTGATTATATTTAATTGTAATTTATAACTGCATTCGGCAAAGACAACAATCGGGCAAATATCCGTCGAGATTAACACTTCTTTTTACTGACCGACACATTGGTCGAATAGCCTCCATTTCTTTCCCATCGCTCATTTACATCTTCACTTTACTGATGTGACGTATTGATATTGCAAATAATTTTTTCCGAAAGATAAAACATGCCTTAAAAAACCAATTATATAAACTAATGCTTTCATTTATGTATCTTAGAAAATTTTGTATTATATATATATTTAAAATTTTCTTATTGCAATTCATTATGAAATTCTATAATTATTGTAAGTAAATCTATTATTTATAAGACTAGAGAATTTTAAAGGTCTTTCATCTATATTATTGATATATATGTTCTTTATGTCAACTTATTAGTACACAAAAATGCTTATTAATATAATTTAAATAAAACAAAAGTTTATTTCTTTTAATTTTATATTGGCTTAAAGAAACTATTGTATTTCTAAATTCATATAAGAGAATAATACCCCATTGTTGTCTTTGCTAAATGTAACAAAAATCTATGCAGCTGTTGTCCTCGTAAGGAATTACATATCTATTATGTTCTTTATGTTTCTTGGGTGACATTGATTATTTAGTATCATATTTTAAAAAAAATTATGAAATATATATAAAATTACTAATTTGATGAGTAATAAGTGGAGGTAGGTAGCATATGTTTGAAATTTTAATTTACTTATTATGTAAGAAAATATATCCCATGAAATAATTAAGCTTTTATATATGAAATGAGCCATTAAGGTTCGTTAAATTATTCAAGTAGTAACTTCTTTTTCAGAGAAAATTAATTTCATACGAGAACAAAAAGCTACATAGAAAGATGCCGCAGAACGAATACATTGAGAGGCACCGTAAACTCTACGGTCGCCGTTTGGACTATGAGGAGAGAAAAAGAAAGAGAGAGGCTCGCGCACCTCACAAACGAGCGGAGCAAGCTCGTACTTTACGCGGTATAAAGGCTAAGATCTTCAATAAAGAGCGACGGAACGAGAAGATCCAAATGAAGAAGAAGATTAAAGCTCATGAAGAGAAGAGGGTCAAAGAGAAATCTGACAAAGTACCAGATGGAGCGTTACCTGTGTATCTGCTGGATCGTAATGTTACCAATAACGCAAAAGTACTTTCCAATATGATAAAGCAAAAACGCAAAGAAAAGGCTGGCAAATGGGACGTTCCGATACCTAAAGTAAGGGCGCAGTCAGAGTCCGAAGTTTTCAAAGTACTGAGAAGCGGGAAGACGAAGCGAAAATCGTGGAAGAGAATGGTAACCAAAGTGACTTTTGTTGGAGAGAACTTTACAAGGAAACCACCTAAATTTGAAAGATTCATCAGACCAATGGCGCTGAGATTCAAAACTGCGCACGTTACTCATCCAGAATTAAAGGCAACATTCTCCCTGCCGCTCATCGGTGTCAAGAAAAATCCGAGCTCTCCTCTTTATACGAGTTTAGGCGTCATCACAAAGGGAACTATTATCGAAGTCAATATCTCGGAATTGGGTCTTGTAACACAGACGGGCAAAGTAGTGTGGGGAAAATTTGCGCAGGTTACAAATAATCCTGAAAATGATGGATGTATTAATGCTGTTCTACTTGTATAAAGCAACACGATTGTTATTTGTAAACTTCTCTAATCCTTAGATATTATGACTGTAATTTCTGAAATAAAAAGATCTTAATACATAAATATACATTGTATATTACAGATTTGTCCCCTTTACCTTTAGAACATTGCTTGAAATAATTATTTTTTCGAATGCATGTATATATAAGAATCTTAGTAGATATTACATATTCTGAATATTTTTTTTTATAGTGCATAATCTTAATAATATTACAATAACTGTGATAGCATCGTGTTTGGGCTTCAGTATACATACACAATAGCTTTTTAAATAGTATTTGGATGCATTAAAAAAAATTGAGAAAAAAATTCCTGATTATTTTAAATATAATTTGTATAATATTAATCTAATATTACAGAATCACCGATCATGCAGATCTTTGTGAAAACTCTTACCGGTAAGACCATTACCCTCGAGGTCGAGGCATCGGATACGATCGAAAATGTAAAAGCAAAAATTCAGGATAAGGAAGGTGAGCAAATCTTGATATACAGGATGTTTATGATCTATTTTACTTATTCTTGGAAAATTGCTGGAAAAATATATGTTGATATTATGTAATTTGCTAAGAATTTAAAATCGAAACAATTTGCAATTGAATAGAAAATATAAAGTTGCATTGTTTTCATTTGTGTCTCCAAAACTTAATTTATGAAAATCTCGATCTTGTCATTTCTACATATTTTAAAAAGCTGATTATTGATATGCTTGTATTTTTATTTGACAAACATTAATTCCTGTATTAGCCAAGTATATGTAGATGAAATGTAAAATATATACATTGTATATATTTTTATGTTAAGTAAATGAATATGTAAATTTCATTCTCTAGCTCTACACGAGATATTGTATCGTTTCAGGAATTCCGCCAGATCAGCAAAGATTGATCTTTGCTGGCAAGCAATTGGAAGATGGTAGGACTTTGTCCGACTACAATATTCAGAAAGAATCTACCTTACACTTGGTGTTGCGCTTGCGAGGTGGTGCTAAGAAACGTAAGAAGAAGAACTACTCTACTCCCAAGAAAATTAAGCACAAGAAGAAGAAGGTCAAGCTTGCTGTGCTCAAGTATTATAAGGTAACAATTTGCCTCATTATATTTACTTTCGAGTTCTCCTTTCTTTTTTATTATCAAGATAGTATGTTTAAATTTGGGATGTAAAATATTTTACAGGTAGATGAAAACGGAAAAATCCACCGCTTGAGACGAGAATGTCCTATGGAGCAATGTGGCGCCGGTGTATTCATGGCTGCAATGGAAGATCGTCATTACTGCGGCAAATGTGGATACACGCTTGTATTCAATAAACCAGAGGAGAAATAAATTCTCGAAATATATTTCCACACATAGTTTGTAAAAATTTTATGTCCTTATATTTTATCCTATTCTTTTATTTGATTAAATAATTTAATCAAACTTCACCATTATTTTTTTCCTCGAACATTCCTGTTATTTTTAGTCCTGTAAACATTTTTGCTAAAATAAGTAAGGAATTCCTAAACAAATTCAAGGGGTTGTTCTAAAAATCATCTATTATTTTCCATAACATTTCACAATGTTTAAATTATATGAAGTAAGTTTACATTCAATATACTATACTATAAATATTTAACTATTAATATTAACATAATATATAATAGTTAACTATAATTAATCCGTGAAGCTGTACACATAGCATAACTATGGACATTCTTAAAATAATAGGAATAATACATATATTTAAACAAAGCTGGTAGACGTTTTTTGTGTATGCAAAGATTTAGCTATCAATGCGCAAATTAATATTTTACACACAGGACTTTTGTTCCTATGATTTTGTGTAACACATATATTTTTACATTTCTGACTTGCTTCGTCGTTCTGTATGTGTATTTATGCTGTTCAAGCTTGGTTTTAATACTGAAAACATCTTTTCTGTCGCAGAGGGATGAATGCTCATTTGTAATTCTGTTAAAGATTCTTCTGTCTATTAAAGCATAAAAATCACAAATGTTAAGATTAAAGAACTTTCTATAAAATATATAGAATGCAGAAAAATTATCTGAATAAGTTACAAATTCTTATATTGGATGCTGAAAATTAAAAAAACAAAAATATTGTTATCTATATAAAGAAGAAATACCTTTATGAAAACATTAATAAACTTAGATTTATATAAAGAAAGAATTTTGTGTCATAAATATTATTTAATTCATAAATTAGTGTTGCTTCAGAATTTTTGTCTCCAGTTTTTCTGCATTCAATATATGTTTATATTGTAAAATTAAATTGTTACGTATTTAAGTATTTAAGTAAGTTGCTTATCTATATTTTAGCTTCTAATCATATCTGAGTCTTACTTGTCTAAGTAATTGTGCAGCAGTGTGCAAAACCCTTTGCCATTTCCTCATTTCTACATTGTGCAAACTTTCTTGCTGTTGCAAAAGGTTAATCCAATCCTCTTCAGTCTTTGGTGTATTTCTGAAATCAGAAAGACATGCGGACGTAAGAGAACAGTATTTTATAAAAAGAAATCAATAACACATACTTCAGTACATGTAAATCCATAATGGTATATGCAGCGGCTTCTTCCAATCCCCATAATTTATAATACAATAAGCCATTGATCACCATTAAACATAATACAGCGACTAGCAGCATTGAGCTGAGAATTATGTTGGTGTCGCTTCTAGTATTAGCAGCTAGTATGGAATAAAAAAAAAACATTGTTAGATAATTTAACATGTTTATAAATGAAGTATATGTCGTAAAAAAATATTGAGTTATATATTACCATGAGCGTGTGGCAAATTGGAGGGAGAAATTTGATGATTTACAGATATGTGTTCGGAAGCATGTGTCTGCAATGCAGCACCTACACCCGTCGCACGCCGTCGTTTTCTCGTCTTTCTCTTTAAACCTCCGCTTACACTACCTTCTTCACACTCCACTGTCAATGCTTTTACTAAACTATTGAAATATTCATCTACACCTGACCAACAATTCTTTTCAATCACACCTAGTTTTTTTTTAAGAATAAAATCCATTTATTAAAATATTTTGCATCTTATTATTAGAAAGAAGAGTATCGCAATTCAAAAAGTATGAATTTTTGAAAAAAAGTTGGGAAGCTCAATTAAATAGAGTATAAAGAAGTTACTATTTAGGTCAATTAATGATTAATTACACTAGTAAACTAATCATATCCTATCTGTGTACATTGGTCTATGTTTCGCATTCTATAGCATTAAAGTGTCAATTTCATCCACGAAAACAAGTATAACTCCACAAATCTAATTTTTCGAGTTGCAATATCTTTTTTATCAAATTAGTTTGGTTTTTAATTTTTTGAACTTACTTTTCATAATACCCCATACACTCTTTTTATACTTAATTTGGGAAAAAATCGCAAGACCTGTCTCATTTTCCGAAATATTATTCATACAATAATGCGTCAAAATGCTAAAGGAATCGGCATAAGGTATACCGGCATTAGTACTTTCTACATCTATACAATAAAGATGACCCGGTCTACTGCACGGTAACATCACCTGCATAATATAATTTTGGATTTAGAAAAAAAATAAAACATAATAAATATAAGCATTTAGTATAAGTTGTTACTGAGACAGAATTCTTTTTTACCTGTGTTTCCGTAACTTGACAAGTTCTTGGACCAATAGCCTGAGTCAAAGATACCGTGAATGAAAGAGTTCTCATTTTTTGACCAGTTTGATTGTTTTGCGTCCATGCAGACTGTATTAAATCTACGTAAATGAAGATGTTAGAAAAGAACATTAGAAATAAATTTATATGGCTTATGAGAGACACAATCATACGCATATTACACAATATGTTAGTACATATATAACTATACATAAAACAGCTTATGTTTCCAAATCATCTCAAATCCATGTTTTAAAAAAATAGAGATTGTATGTCATACACGTACACATCTATACACAAAAATCTATACACAAAAAATAATTATTTAAAACGATTTGGAAACATACATTTTTAAAATATACTTCAAGATATCTAAGACACACATGCACTTTTGATAACATATAGTAATAACAAAATTATTATTCTGTTACCAGTGGTTTTGCGAGCAGTATGAAAATCTAAGAAAAATTTCGAATTTGTGAAGAGCAGAGTAAATAGTTGATCGATGTGGATAGGTAATGTCGCTTTGTTAACTTGTCGACCTTCATGCAAGGAAGTGCAGACCATAGTGCTCCGTATGTTCATTTTCACTGGAACAAGCATTATTATGATTGCATTACATGCAGCTATGCTGCATGTAATCTTAAAATGAATAGCATGTATTTTTCAGATAGAAATTGCAAATTCTAATGTAGATTTCTTATCAAAGTATAATGTAACACATTTTGTTTCTTTCTGCATTATATGACTTGCAATTTAAGTTAATTAGGCAGAAAAATAAATTAAATGTTAATATAATGTCGTAGCAATTTACTAAAAAAATATAGATGCTTAGCTTATATCATTAATGAAAATCATATTGCAGAAATCAATAATCTTTAGATATGTATCATGCATTTTATAACAAGCTTAATTTCTTATAACAATTCTACAAGTTATAATTTTTGTTAATTTCTTAATTATTTTAATATGAAAAAACGGCTTGATAATTTAAAAATTTAAAAAAATAGGCTAACTATGATTTGAATAAAAATTAGAATAATGCTGCAGTGCAATATATAGCAGTTTATTTTAAATACATCATTACAAATATTAAACATTAATTTTTTTCCTGTTTTCTGTGAATTTGTTAGCTTAGAACATGATATTTTTTAAAATAATTATATTTTATTAAATATTTTGATGTTCTGCTCTTTAGAAAAAAGTTCTGATAAAATTAATAAATTTTAAAGCAAAATATATCAGGAAGTACTTACAACCATGTTTCTCGGCCTCGCTTTCTGTTGTATCACTCAAATCCGTTGGATCAAGCACAAGTTCTGGTTTAGGTATTGGTATTGGCGGATCTGGTTGCTGAACTTGAGGTTCAACAGCAGGCTGTTCTACAGGAACAGGATCCATGAGTGGAGATGCTGAACCTTCCATAGTAGCTGCCTCAGCCTTCGTTTTCATTAAAGAAAAATAAAATAACATAATGTTAAATAATCAATTTTAGTTTATATAACTTTTTTCAGTAATATCACGCAGAATTAATTATTCATTTTTTATTTTCATTAATTCGTCAAGTTTACTATCCTGTGAAATGTAGAATTAATTACAAATCTAAATACATTAAGCTACCGCTACTTAAACAAAGTTTCGCCGGAAGCCGGTCTCTCGACTCGGGGGGACAGATAAATGTGTTTACAAAACAAGCTTTACTAAGAAACCAGATATAGTGACGCTATCTATGAACTGTAGAGAGAAGCCAAGGCTAGTTTGATTTGGAAATCTTTCATTGAGATCCACACAAGAGAAAAACCGACTTAAGATATCACTAAGTAAAATATCAAATTTGTGATAAAAGTGCTTGGTAAAAATTCTGAAAATCCATGGATCTTATATGCAGACAGCAAATTAAAAGATTTATTATAATTATCAGATGCAATTAAAAACGATATTAATTTAAAAATAATTTGTTAATAAAAAAAAATGAAAATAATCATTGAGTTCAATTCATTTTCTTCATTAAAAAACAAAAGTTTTTTATTTAAAAAGCAATTTAATAAAAACGAAAATTTCGTTCTTTAACTTAATATATTATTTGATCTAATAAATCTTTTTTTTCTCACTTATCTTTTTAATTAATTACCTTCATTTTCTTAATCAATATAATAATAATATAATGATATTATGTTCAAGATCTTATAATAGAAAATATTGTCAAACTTATATATATACCTCGGAAAAAGAATCTACAGAAAGACGAGTTGATAATTTTTCTTCGTCTGCCGCAGGTAATGGTGGTACATAATCTTCGTCATCAGAGGTCAAGCCTAATTCATCTCCATAGCAAGCATGTACAAGCTGCCACATTTCAGCCATACTCATTGGCTAAAAATAGAATAAAATATTTGTTTAGAAGAGATGCGCACTATAAAGATATATTATGTTTATGAGGCTTTAATAAGTCTATTCTAAAAGTATCAATACTTCAATTCTTTTGTAGAGAAATATAATTTGTTTAGAAAAAATGGATAAAAAAAAAGATTTTAGTTCAGCAATATATTAAATCTTTTGACAGACATTTTCATTTGCAAATATATCTCAATATTCTTTCAAAATTACAATAAAAAATCTTCGAGACTTAATTGTAAACGATATATACATACCTCGCCAATAAGAGCATTTTGCCAAACACGAAATAACATTACATATGTTTTATCTCTCGCTCCAAACGATGTTAGAAAGAACTTGTCAGTAACTGTACAAATCAGGATAGCATTTGGAATGACAAGCGCAGTTTTTTCTTTGGTAATAGATGTAACATCTCTCCAACGTAGGGAGACCAATGTCTCCCACATAAATATATTAGCATAAAAACACACATAGTTTTGAGACACATAAAGTCTACCATGTACCAATATCTCACGCTGAAGAGCACAAGAATAATCTAAAAGTTATATCGCTAAATTAGTAAAATTGTGGAATGTGTTAAATACTCGGCTTACAATCATGTGGATGTAACAAGTATAAACTGGTTAGTTTAATGAGTAACTGACTGATGAGGGAATAAAATGTGACATAATACATTTTTGTATGTATAAGGAACGACATTCTTGAAACAACACTTACCTACCACCAATCTCTCGTCATCAGGCACATCTTTGAATATTCGTTTAAAGTCCTCGGAACGTGATTTATAAGTCGGGTAAAGTACATTGTACCAGGAAGATTTTTTCTTGCTTCGGTCACTGCCACGCGACTCTTTTTTATTTTCGTGAGAGGAACTCTTGTTGAGTTCAGCCGAGTCGGACGATCTATTGATCAAATCCTGTATATTCATGCAAAACAATTATATTTCCCATCAAGATACTTTAATATGAAAATTATAATTCTAAAATTGTCAATGCATACCTGAGACAGCTGATCGTCGGATTTATTCGCACGAGAGGACTCTTTAGCGGAAGAATCGGAATTTAATCTGGAATACTCTCGCCTGGAATGAGCCCTTGGACTGGGACGTGGGGATAAGTTAGGGCTGGATACAGGACTGTTACGGTCACCGCCAGAACCTACAGTTGTCTCTTGAACGTTTTCCACGGATGCAGCATTTCCTAGATTTGTCGCCGAATTTTGGTTAGCCAAACCAGAAGAATTAATGCTACTGATTACTTCGTGACTAGATATTAATAAATTCTCCACAGATTTGTTCCTGTTAATAACATAGAAAATATCGAATATTGAATAAGTGTTATATGCTTCGTGGAATGTAGATTTACTCCTAAAATGTTGCACAGACAAATCATTGACGATACATACATGCTTGATACCAAATGCTTTTGAACCGTCTCGGTCTCGAAGTGCATAATAAGTTATGCGATGTTAGCGTCCACGCATTCGTGGCTGGAGCTGTCAAACATCAAAAGCTTTGAGAGAATCTCACTGGAGCTAGGGAATAGACGTTAGTGCCGTGACACCGGATTACGAAATATATAGCGTATTGTAGCGTATATAAGCGTTGTGCGATCGTTAGTATGCATTTAATTGGCGGACAGAGGCTTTTATCCACACATTGGACATCGGTACTTGCGCCTACCGCGATAAGAGTGATACATTTCAGATAAAGAGCGGCCAGTGAACGTCACCGTGTCAGGCATCACTCGCTTCATATCACGATAGATCAACGATTGCGGGACATCGCCGTTTTGTGCTTCGTCATCACCCAGTTTTTCCTTTCGCGTTATTTTACGACGTCAACAAAAAGTCTCTTGCATGAAAACTATCGTTTACACGCCATAACACAGTGCGAAAAAAACAACGTAACCGTCACATTCGAAAGCGCTGCGATCTGCGATCTGCGATGCGTCGATCATCGAGCATGAAATCAATGATATAGATTGCGTTCGAAAGACGTGACGGTCAACTTTCGGAAAATGAATCTAATTGGTACATGCATATAGTTATTTTTAATACGCCAATCACTAACAATTATTACTCGAATTTTCATGAAGTAGAATTCGAGTCTTTGCCAAAAGGCTTTGAATCTGTCTCTGATGAAAAGTAAAATTAATTAAGTTCAATCTCTCATTCTAAATTTGAATATTTATCAATAAATTTTTTTTTCAAAGGTATAACAGCACTTTCTGTCTTATTTGTTTTGAGAAATTGAAATAAATTGAAATTGAATATATAAAATGAACAATTGAATATATAAAAGAAATTGAATATATAAAATGAACAAGTATACAAATTAGAAACATTATTTTCTATATATTACTTTACAATCATAATTTAATTAAAATATTACAAATATGTAATAGAAAAATAATATTTTAATAAATTATTTCAGACATATACAGGATATTTTTTCATATATATGTACAAGTGTTTGCAATAATTATCTTTGTCAATTATCTTTAATCAATTTTATACTTTATATTTTTACATTGCCCAGTTCTTCAGTAACTTTTGATGCTATGTTCTCATTGTTCTCATCTTTCTCTTCTCCTTCTTCTTCAGATTCCGTATCACTTTGTGGAAAATCGGGAAGTGCTAAAGATAAATATATTGAATATTAAATCAAAATACAAAACAGAAAATTAAAAATAAAGTTACAGAATGTCCTTACCAAGCCTATCCAACTTTTCTTGCCAGGCTTTGGCTAAAAACTTCTCTTGGACAGCGATTATCTCTTCGCTATTTGTGCAAAGAGCATACTTTTCTAACAATTCGCTATTCAACTCTAAGAATGAGTGTCCCCATGAGAACTTTCCAAGATAGAGATTGGCTTCTTCTGGGTATCCTGTTATAATCAAAGTAGCTGCTATAGCTTCAACACAACTCAATTGACAGGGTTTTCCATAGTTTATCGGATTGGCAGCGACCAAAAATGGCAGTAGACGGGGATGGGATGCCTTCATCCTATTGAAGGGAGTGTCGTCTAAGCGCGCCCAACTGCAATCCACAACTGCACAGCCGTACTCCTGTACGATTTCGCGATCCGTTGGGCATACACACTGCAACCAACGTTTTACATCATTAACATCTTAAGCATGCTGTAACATTATCAAATCTCCATTTATCAACTACCTTGTCACCAACCGGAGTAAGACATAAACCGGGAAATCGAGCGCCTAATCGCAATATTTTTATCAAGCCGTGCCTCGCCAGTTTCCTTCCGGAGCATTTCTTGGGATCGCAGTGCTCCATGTCCCACATGGCCACGGGAAAAGGGATCGCCGATTCGTTCGATGATTCTACAAGTTCAATCGGAGATTATTTTATAATCGAAGCGCTAAAAAACCCACGAAATTCATTTTTATCTCACCTGCCTCGTCGTCCTTATCCGATCCTTCATCTCTTTGCTGATGATATCTCTGCTCCTTGCCGAGAACGTGCCGGGGTCTCTTCTCCAATAATTTGCTCTTGTTCTTCCTCCTACGTCCTGACATCTTTTATATCGGATGTATTATCTCGTATTATCTTTCCAGCGTGCACGTAACATTACCTAAGACAACTTGACCACAACCTACGAGAGATTATTCAGATGGATTCAAGTATTCAGGTTGTGATTGATGTCATTGCATGAAATCCCGTAATCCAGTTGAAAAATTTGGTTCTAGGAATCTTTTAGAAATGCATTCAAAAATCTTACCCGTGGAATAAAATAGCGTTTAATTGGCCAATCAAATCTTTACTCCTTTTGTCCTGATTATCCTGATTGGTCAATTAAATTCTACTCTATATCACGGGTGGAATATCTGTGAATATACTCTCTAGCTAGTAATATATTTCTATTTATGAAAAAGAGCCGCCCATACTGGCCCATGCGTCATACGTCATGCAACGTGCGCGTACGTGACTTATGCGTTGGCTGCATATTATCTATGAGTGTCACCGAGTGGCATTTATTATTTATTTACTGTAATTACGCTTGATATCTATCACCAATTGTAAATTATATTGCTAAATCACATTGGTGAAATATCAGAATTTCTTCAATCTCATCGAATACATTATTATTTTAACAAATGTATGTTTTTATTGAGCGGTTTGTATCCTTTGGTTATTATGGAATACGTGTTTCTTCGATCGATTGTCCAACTTTAAACTTGCCAATTAAATTCAGAATTTAATTTCAGATTCGCGACGATGAGTAACTAAAAATAATTATATTAGTATAATTTATAATCATTGCGTTACAATTACAGAATGGTAAGTCTAATTTGTTTAGTTACTTTAAAGAAAAGTTTGACATACATAAAATAGAATATTTAGAAAATAATAATAATCACTTTTTTTGTGCATTAATCAAGATCTTAATAATGCAAATCTCAGTAACATAACTGAATTGACGATTAATATTGTATTACCTTTTTTTTATACAGGCAACATTGAAGCATGATATTGAACTACCAAGCAATATTCCAGAATTATTAATAGAGAAGCATGCAAACTATCTCATTTCTTATGGGACTAACAAAGATGAATATGTAAGAATCTTTTTTAACTTTTTTGTTATTTATATATATATAAAAACCAGCTGTATAGATTTTTTATTGATATCACTCTGTAGAAATATATTTAATATTTTGAATGTATAAATTGTAAAGGGTTTCATCTAAACTTAATATATTTTGTACATTTATAATATTCTTTCAAGATTAATATATTCTTATTTTTTAGAATTATTCTCAGACTGCGCACATGAGGATGTCTGGAATGTATTGGGGTCTTACTGCTCTAGATTTAATGGGAAAGTTAGAGCAAACCAATAAAGAGGAGGTGTTAGAATTCATTGGACAGTGTCAAAGTGACAGTGGTGGTATTAGTGCCAGTATACAACACGATCCACATTTACTTTATACACTTAGTGCCGTTCAGATACTGTGTATGTACGATGCATTGCATGTAATAAACATTGATAAAATTGTAAATTACATCAAAGAGAGGCAACAGGCAGATGGAAGTTTTGCCGGTGATCAATGGGGCGAAGTGGATGTCAGATTTTCGTTCTGTGCTGTCGCCACTTTGTCACTTTTGGTAAATATCATAGTGACTGTCATAAATAGAGTATGATTTATTTTGGGTGCCTGTAAGAACAAGTGTGTTGAAATAGGAATATCCAATTATTCGAATGAAAATCAATTCTTGAGATAGAATAAATATTTCCTGGAAACATCACTTTCTTGAAAAATCTTTAGGCATTAGTGGATTTAAGGACAATTGTCAGATCATCAACATCATTAAGTACATCTTAGAAAAAGTAAATTCTTTAAGATTTGGTTTAAAAATCAGAAAATATGTAGAAAAAAATTAAAGAAATTTTTTATATTGTCACTAACATATTTCAGAATCGCTTAGACGCAATAGACATCGAGAAAGCAGTGCAATTTGTGTTAAAGTGTATGAATTTTGATGGAGGATTTGGTTCAAAGCCAGGATCGGAGAGTCACGCGGGTTTAATCTATTGTTGCGTAGGGCTACTTTCGATAACAGGTATATATAACATATGATTATTATATAGAAAATGTCGATCTGACTTATCAAAATATTTCCCAGGACATTTGCATCTGATAGATGCTGATCGTTTAGGATGGTGGTTATGTGAGAGACAATTACCTTCCGGTGGTTTAAATGGCAGACCCGAAAAGTTACCAGATGTGTGCTACTCTTGGTGGGTATTATCAGCGCTGACAATCCTAGGCCGTCTTCATTGGATAGATAAAAAAGCCTTGGTAAGTAAATATCCTCGAATGATGTTTTAATGGATTATAAATAGTTGTCGATCAATTAATATCGTTTAGATTAGACATTCTCTCCTTATGATTTCATTCATCATTTTGATGCCTCTGTGTTAGCCAATCAACGATATAAACCAAGCAATTATAAACCGATATCAATTTAATTAGCTAATACAACTATTTTTTCCCATTTTTCATTACAGATCGATTACGTTTTGACTTGTCAGGATATCGAAACCGGCGGTTTCAGCGATCGACCTGGAGATATGGTCGACCCTTTTCATACTTTATTCGGCCTCACCGCGTTGTCGTTGTTGGACAAGAATTTTTCGTTAAAACCAATTAATCCTACATACTGCATGCCGGAATACATAATCGATCGTTTAGGTCTTAAACCGTCGCGGCTCGATGCATGATTATATAACCGACGTATTTTCGTCATTTACTTCTTCGTTAAAAAAATACACGACTATAGATTTTTTACAAAACATCTTTCGAGTTTTATGTATACGACTATCCTAACATCCTCAAAAACATGCTCCGATTGATTCTTCTGTCTGTAGAACTTATTCTACAACTTGAAAAATTTAATTACATTACAAGTAATCTGATGGTGAATGGATTACAAAAAGAACTGCAACCCGCTTTCTTTCTTTGAGAAATTGTGTATTTTTTGGATATATCATATTATTGAAGTTTTTCATAAAGATTCAAGAGTTTCAACTATAGATATTATTTATTATCAACTATAGATATTATAATGCACAGAAGAGAGAGAAGCCATCTTAAAGGAATTCATCAATTAACACACTCGCCATTGACTGTTCGCTGCCATTAGATGTTCTCTTTCGTTCGATCCATCAAAGACTCTAATAAAAAGGAGTTGACTTTTATCTGCCTACTTTCTCTTATTACCATTCATTTCCATTATTATTGACTGAACGTACAGTCTCGAGATCGATTCAGCGTATTTTTGCACAGATTATCTTCACCGTTTTTTAAGCAAGATTAATTCTTATCCGATCAATGGTATTTAAAAAAAATTGAACGTCTTGCTTTAGTATAGCACAGTGCGTGGTTCGCAATACTATACAAAAAATGTCCTCAGTTTTCATCTCGTAGTGATGGGATGAAAAATAAGGTAAAAATTACATTAACACTGCACGCGACGCGGATATCAATGTATTATAGAGTTAATAGAGCTCTCTCATACAACATAAAAAGAGAGAAACATAGAATTATAAATTTAAAAAAATAATGAATAAATATATATATATGAGGCATATTCTTCCTAAAATTTGCAATATTTTAATTATAACAGATTTAAACAATATGAAGTAGATTTTTTCTTAGCAAAAGAGATTATATTATTTACCATATTTTTCAATTTCTGATATTACATATCCCTACAAATTTCTCAAAATTCTGTCAATATTAAGGCCGCCTAAAGAAAATTTTACTTTTGTTTAATTTTAAATTTATTGCGGGAAATAAAATGCTCTCTTATAAATTTGTTTGATACAGAAAGAGAATAAAAATATGTACTTATCTTATTTAAAATACTTACTATTTGAGGCACTTGAATGACAAGTGTTAAATACTAGCCACCCCAATTAAACATGTATATTGCGAGTTATCTATTGTCATTATTATGAATCTTTTTGTGCCTAATCTAGACGTAATGCGTACCTTTCGAAAATGCCTCTGGCCGACTTGTTCACATGAATGTAAAGCATAGTATACATTATATGAACAACGAGAATTGCCATTTTGTCGGTGGGGAACGAGGCGTAGCGACACGCCTCTTGCTAACAAACTACGGGCGAGGAAGACACTTTGCTCCGATTGGTGTTTATCTTCTCCCACCCCTTTCTTTCTGTTACCTTTAGGTTCGTCGCCGGTCATCGATCAAGATTATGTTTGATCATATTAACTAGGAAAAAAGATTGATCCTATGTTCTCTCGATAAGCAATGCAAAATCGCTAATAATATTAAAAACGGTTGTGCTGATACTCGCGTGGTTGACCGAGATAGGGTTGAAAACGGTGCCAATTTGCCAGCTAGATTTGATTGTTGGAACCACACGATAATGTTCGCAATAATCTTTTTTTTTTCGTTTAGCTTTATTATTATGTGAAATTAATCCTTGCTCAGTAAATCTCGAATTATTTCGAAAACGGTATGTTCATTTTTTATTTCAAGTAGCAATGGCGCTATCGTTATCTTTTATCTATAAAACTAATGGCAGCGACATTATCGTTAAGGAATTAAAATAGACAAATTGTTACAAAATTAATATATACATATATATTTTGTTAAAGAGATAAAATATATACATATATTTTTGTAAAATTAAAAAATTGTCATTCTTCAAAGAAGATTAACAAACAAATTAAAAAATAAATAAATAATAAGATGGATAAATAAAGGAATATCTGTGTGAATTTTGGAATACTATAAAATAAAAATTAAATAATGACAATTAATCTCGTACAAACAAAATGAGAAAGGAATTTTACTCTAGCTCTCCAAACAGATCCAGACGCCACCGTTTCAATATGAGAGAACGAGACTTAACGCGAAATTACATCGCTTTCAATCCTCGGAACGAAAGTACGCTGGCGAATCGATCCGCGACGCGCGGAAGACAAAGTCTCTTCTTTCTTCGTCCTACCCAGTCCTACCCGCTGGGATAGTAGTAATGTACCCGGTGCTGTACTTCGGCGATGCATACACGGTATCGGTGAACGCGCGCGCGAGGTCGATCACGATACTCGATCGGATTGGTCGACGCATTGGCTGTTCCCGTTCGTTCGAGGAGGTGGTCTAAAGCAGCGGTGTTTGAGAGAGAAACCCGCCCTCGACATCCGCTCGAATGGATAGACGACGCCCTATTCGCGTCGCGGAAACCTCCTTCGGGAAGGTGGGAGACCCACTGCGCCATTGGGTAGAGGTGTTCGCACGAAGCGGGAGCGAGAACCGGCCGAGAACGCGATCCGCGACTGCCTCCAATCCGGGACACAGCGATGCCGCGAGGTCGCGGGTAGGGGAAGCCCGTTGCGGGGGTGTGGGTATAGATCGGCCGCAGTATCCGCGGAGACGCGATCGCGGGTACTCGGCGTGCCTGAGCGTGCGCTCCCGGGGGGTCTCTTCCCCGAATTACGGAATAACGTAACGAGGATTTATCGGGATCGGAACAGTGTTCAAATCTAAATCGTCGTCCGGATTGTTGTGATATATTGTGATACGTGCGCGACAACAGCACGGGCTCGGGCCTCGGCCGACCGCGGGACCCCGTGGTTGGGTCCGATGGAGATCCTCGTCCTCGGAAAGCAGCTCCTATTCCGGTGCTCCCGCCGCCGGTTCGCGATCTGGAGGATGCTGGCGCGCGAGTATCGGCGAATATCTCGGAAAGTGTCGAGCAACGTGTAAGGGCGTCGTTGATTCCAGACAGGCGGGTGACGTAGAGACACTAATTTAACTCCTCGGTATCGCGTCGATCCCGGCGCACGTCGATGATGCCGCGACCCTCGCGCGATACCTATGGTGATCAGAAACCGCCGTACTCCTACATATCGTTGACGGCGATGGCGATATGGTCGTCGAGGGACAAGATGCTGCCGCTTGCCGAGATTTACAAGTTCATCGCCGACCGCTTCCCGTACTACAGAAAGGACACGCGACGGTGGCAGAACTCTTTAAGGCACAATTTGTCCTTCAACGATTGCTTCATCAAGGTTAGTCCCTCCGTAATCATCTGTGCCGGATTCTGATCGATGTTGGTCCGGAGATTAAGTTTCTCCGATAATACTCGTCGATTCAATAATACCAGATTGCTGCAAAATATTGTTTTTTTGTTAAGCACGGTCTTAAATAATCTTACTGATTTGATTTTTGCAAAAGCAAACTTAGAAAACATATTTTGAGATGAAGAAAAGCGAAGCCAATGATCGTCATCTCGATGAACGAGAATTAATGTAATTTCGGTCTTTATCTAAAAAAAAAAAAAAAAAAATGACAAATCATTTAATATCAATTTAAATATTGTCAAAGCAACACCTCGAATCGCGGTCGCATCGAAGTGTCAAGATATCGCGAATAGCGTGGCGAATGGAGCACAGAGAACGGATCTTACCTTTTATGACTGACGCGATGTGCCTTTTCAACGCGAATGTCCGGGTTCGTCCGGGAGCGACGACGCAACGCGCAAGGTGTCTGGTTGTTGTATTATCGGGCCATCTGTTTCGCACCTGCCAACGTGTGCGACCGCGCGATCACCGTCATGGCGCGTTTTACACGCGGTTCCTCGAAATTATACGAAAGAATGCTGGGTTCTTTCGTCGCCTGTCATCCGATTCTTGGGAGGAGTCCTCCTAAAAAAGTAAAACAGTTTCTCAAACATGTCCACGTCGCGTCATAATGCAAAACTTGTCCAATCTCAAAAGCACAAATGTATTTTATCAGAGAACATTTCGATTTGCGATTCTGCATGAAACATATATTTCGAATTCTTAAATGCAGTCTAGATTAGTAACAAATTTTTGTAAATTTTTTATGAAGCTTCTACAAAATTTGATATAAAGACCGTATGGAAAAATAATTAAATATTAAGAGTAATAATTATTCGTAGAATAATTGTGACAACATTTCAAACCTTTACATTGTACTTATTATAACATAATGAATAATGTATTCCATGATTAATATATTTGTTTTATTGATATATTCACTGATCAAGAATATTTTCATTACAGTATATGTATAATAATGAATTATAAAAAAATGAATATTATTGAATATAATTAATTAAGAATATAATTAGTTGAGAATTTAGAATACACATTTAAAATTTCTTAAAATATTGCTTGAATTACAGGCAATTATAGATATAATTTCTAATTCAATATTAATTAACTATAAGATTATTATGTTATAAAGGTCTTGTTATTTTATATAATATTTGTTTCGAGTTCAAAAAAAGATATATTATTTTAAACGTAAAATTGATTTAATACACACATATTAGGATTTAATTAGAACTGCATGAAAATCCAAATAATCCGAATTCTGAAATTTATTTATTGAACATTAGGTTTTATTTTTATGTATGCAAAAGTCTAGAATGCAGATAGAAACTGCTTTGTTCGAATATTTAAAAACAAGTATCACAGCAGACTTTTACTTTTAATAATTTAAAGCAATACTTTGATTACATAATTTGAAGCAATACTTTGATTACAAACTTATACAAATTATAAATTTCATAAATACAATTAATTTTTTATATTTTATATTATTAGTTTATCGAAAAATCGTATTGCAGAAAAAAAACAATATTTTCTTTTCTCAAGATAATTTATGTAAATAGATACAGAAAAAACCATGTTTTCCTTTCTCATGATAATCTATATAATTAGATATGTACATACATATATTTTCTCGATATTATTCACACTTGAATCTTAAATTAATCAATTTGAACCAAACAATCTTAAATCAAAAAGGCAGAATACTTTTATCAAAGGATATAAAATATCTTTGTTTTCTTAAATTGGACAAATTTTACCCTGTATATGCCCATGTTTGTAACGAATAATAATTATCGTCGCTAGAAAGCGTAAAACCATAAACGGAAAGTAATAATGTCTCTGCGAGAAATTTTCGAGAAATTTTATTCCGGAAGAGAGAGGCATCGATCGTGAATTAACTAATGAAATTATTCGCATAAATGCACACACAACATATTATAATGGCTGCGGTAATTTTATCTATTTGTTTTTTTTTTTAAACCGATTCTCTTCGGTTTTAGTTTGAAGTTAATTTTTTTAACGATTTTACACTCTGATAATTTTTTTACAAATATTTTTCCGCATAAACTGATAAAATCATATTTTTTACTTAATATCAAATCGACTTTACTTAGAGTAGGGTTATTTGAATTAAATTTGAATGTCGAAAGTATAGTAAAAGTTGTAGTAAAAAATATCAAATCAAATTTTTTAAATGGAGATCTGTTACAAATTGATCGATTAATTCATAAATAAAAAATAATTCATTTCATCAATTTATAATATAAAATGAAAGAAATAAATTCCATTTTAATATCAGTAGAATATTACCATAAATTGGAACGATAAAATTATATAAATTTCGAATCTGTTTCTATCATCTTACCGGCCTCATTAAGTAAATTAAAAATATACGTTTTTCAAGATAGAATACATATTCCGGTTATGATTGTTTTTTTAGTGGCCATAATGTGACATTATATCATTTAATTATCTAATAATCATTATTATTTTAAAATATTTTATTTATAAAAAAATATGATTTCATAAAAAATAAATCTATAACATATTATCTATAAGCATTATTCGTATAAAAAAATTCCGATAACGGTAATCTGAAAACGTGAATATAATTGCGTTGTCGAGCATAATATACAGAGTAAAAGGAGTAATATTTAAACAATTTAAATATCTTATGTGCAACTTTTCTTTGCGTTCTTTAAGAGTACGGTCAGATGCCACTTTCGATAAAGGCAAGAAATTTTCCATCGCGATGCCATGATATTTAATAAAAGCCATTCGAATTTGCTTCAACATTCGAATATATTTCTTTCACAGCCTCGCGCGTAAACGCGATTCAAGATCGAGATTTGCCATAGTTAACTGTAGAAAGAAAAGTGGCGCAAAAGATGCGAACGCGCAGCTCGCTCATCTCTCGTCTCTCGACCTCTTGTCGAGGCGTGGTACTAATAATAGCGACGGCAATATATTTCCCTCTGCGCGCGCGAGATCTGTCCGGGCAACAGGTTATGCCTTTCCGATCGAATTAACTCGGCCGATCGGCAGATAATCGTTTCGCGTTATTAAATGTAAAACCTGTTCGTTCTTGGCAAAGTAATGAACCCCCGGCTCTCTACAGCTCATCAATCGCCGCTAAGGCCTGCGCCTTATATCGGCTATCGGCGGTGGACGCGACGCGATACTAGGCGCCTTTCCGTAGGGATGAAGGGGAAAAACACTACTATGGGCTACTCACCTGAGTGTGTAATATGAGCCGTCGTGCTTTACGAGAATCGCGTAATTGCCTCAGACATTGTTCCCACCGACGACCGGCATCCTTGATCGCTCATCAAAGATATCAATTAAGGCGCGACTTCCATAAGCGCTTTATTCATCAAAGCGTGTGGATTTCTGAACTTTCGAGTCTGATTCCAAATTTTTCTATCAATACGAGGTTGAGGTTTCCGGTCCTATTGTGCTGCGTCAATTATAGGCAATTATTATTACACGTGAATTATGATTATTATGCAAATACTCGATTTGTTTTTCATTGTATTTGATATTCGTACGTCGATAGCTATTGCCAAAGAGTGAAAAACTTTTTTTTATTGTTCAATATTATATGATCTCTTATAATAAGTAAATATTGTATAATCTCTGTTTTCCCCCCTCTCTTTTCTTATCTTATATTTAATCTTTCGTACAAACACAGCTGTCAAACTGTCAGATATGGTTTTAAGTTATGATCCATGAATATCACACAAATATAAATACGTATGTTCTATGTGTGAAATGTGCTTACTTACGGAAGTAAAGGCGTTTGTGACACTTCGTTTATCAAAGTGCGGATCTGAACTAATGCAATTTCAAATTTACATCGAATCTTGTATCTCTTGGTGTGATTCTAATTTCTCATCAGAAGTTTAAAGTAAGATTTGCAAAAAGCAACTCGTCACAAATAAATGTTTGATTCAAAATTGATAATGACTCAATGCGAAATCTAATGTAATTTGTTTACTATCACATTATTTGCCATCGCGTGCTGATTGAACTGCCATTCGACCGTTCGTATAGCGGTGACTTTTCACGAGCTTCTTGCAAAGTCGCTAACATAAATTTTGTCTTTGTACAAAGCGTCTCTTAAATGATTGAAAATTAAATCTTCGTGAAATGCGCGAATATCAGTATACGTATTATTAATCACTTGATTAGCTTATTCGAGACGCATAGTTTCGGATACAATCTATTGTACGAAGATATCAAGAGAATTATTTCTGAATTAAATTTCTTTCACGCGAAAGTAGAAATATGCCAGTCTGGAATTGTCAAATTAACGAGCATAAAACTGCATTTTTCTGAAACGGTACACATAATCATTTTTTAAGAATTTAATACAGAGAACATTTTGGCTAAAAAATATAGTAATACGATATACCTTTGACGAAACGACGCTGACGTTTTCTTCTCCCAGACGCAACGGAATTTCACACCGCGAGTCCGGCGCTGATACGCCGTGATAAACCGAATGACCGGATTTCAGGTGCCGCGCGGTCCGCATCGGCCGGGAAAGGGGGCCTACTGGGCGCTGCATCCCGCCGCATTGTCCATGTTCGAGAACGGTTCGCTCCTCCGCCGACGGAAACGGTTCAAGCTGCACAAGCCGGATAAAGAGCTGCTCAAGTCCGAGTTGCAGGCCCTCGCCTCGGCGATGCCGCCGCCGCAGCCGCAGCCGCAGCCCCACGCGGAACCGGTCGCGTCGACCGGCGGGATCGTCGGGGACACCGGCGCGACTTGCCCCGGCAACGGTCTCAGCCTGGCGAATCTCCATCGTCTGCGGGACGATCTCCTCCGTTGGGAGATGCAGGAGAGGCGGATGATGGTCGCGAATCACGGCGATTTCGCCGGCGCGGCCAGCTTCGGCCGATTCGACGGCACGTCCGGTCTGCCGGCCGGACCGGCAGCGCCGGAAGCCGTCACCGCCGGCTACTACTTGCTGTCACCCGAGATCAGGCAGAGATTGACGGGCGGCGCCGACGGCGGCAACGAGATTCTCAGGACATACGAGGCGGCCGCGTTGCTGCATTCTGCCGCTTCCTGGAACTTTCCCGGCTTCCCGACGGTCTCGCCGTCGTACGCGGTGTCGCAGCTGCCGTACCTTCAGCAGACCACCGTCAGCAGGTCGCAGACCATTCATCCGGTGACGCGGGAGATCCGGGACGAGCGTCGGGGCGACCGTGCGCTGGAGAACGGACCGGTGATCGTCGCCGCGACCGGCAGGGACAACGAGACGGTCTTTGCGGCTGAGAATACTTACGAGATTACCGGCTACAATCGCGACAAGCTCGCCGAGGAGGAGCCGCTTTCGTCGCCCTCGTCCTCGTCCTCGTCGTCCAGAATGAATCTCTATCGGAGCGTCGCCGTGCCCACCGCCGCCTCGTCACCGCCGACGTCGCCGATCTCGCCGAATTCGCACGCGTCCAAGTCGTCCTATCGTCACCTGTCGCCCATATCGAGCCTGGTGGTGGAGGTCGAACGTACCCAGTTGCCCTCCGCTCGCGAGGATCCGGTCGCGACCACGGTCGTCCTGACTACGGCGAACACGGAAAAGAGGGTGAAGAAACCGTTCACCATCGAGAACATTATCGCGCCCGACGACAACAATGAGAGTAACGGCGACGTCGGTGGCGTGGGTGTTAATACCAGTGTCGGTGACGAGGAAATTACCTCGAGATTGTCCGACGAGTCGATCGGGAAAAAGTCCTCGCTTCTCGTGCCGAGACCGCTTTACGCCGGGTACACGATGTCGATCGCGACTACGGGAGTTCAGAGGCCTTCGTACGGCACCGCCACCTGAACACCGCCCGTCGTTTTGATCGGTTCGTTACATCGGATGGAATAACCGAACAAAGTTCACGAAACGTCTTACAAACGTCCGTTTCCAAGATTCACGTCCCTTCGACGTGCCCGCCGCGCTCCACAGACACATTTTACGCCTGTGTATATACATTGCACCTTCACTTATCTAATATCCTTCAGAAGAGAAAGAGAGAGAAACAAAAAACACTTTCGCTATTCTAACGAGAAGAGATATAATTCCTCGTTATAGCTGTGACTGAATCAGGTCCAATTCGTGCATATAAAGTGGAATATTATTTTTTTCTATTATATCTTTAGAAATATGTGAAGCTCATTTCGGTTCTGTTAGATAAGCAAAGGCGTAATGTATTGTACTTACGAGAATCTGTCAAAAAGAATCCGCGAGAATCTCTTCGAGTCTGAAAAATTGCTCTTTACGATTTCTCGAAATCGACATTGTCTTATCCAACGAAACAATGCGACTAGATTAAAAAACGAGACAATCGCGCGGATACTTTTTGCCTGAATCGCGACGCAATCGATCGGATGTAATCGCTGCGGATCCTCTGTCCAATTCGCCGCGAACGGTAGACGTGACGCAAATATAGGGAGACGTCGTATAGACAACGCGTTAGAGTTCCTCATTTCGTAAATACCGTCTTCTTTTATCGAGAGATAAAAGCTTTGCTTGCTGATATTGGTTTTCGTCGCAGGAGTCGCTTGGTCTCGAGAAATTTACGAGCTGTCCGGGCAGTTAACAGTTATAGTTACTCGTAATCTACGGCTATTTTATGACACGCGAAGGCGGTCAGTTGATTATTGTCAACCGCGATACTCCGAAAATATGTAATTAACTAATTAGACGATCTCTAAACGATTAGGCGCGGGCGCGAGCACGAAACACCAACGTTAGATTTAATATATAAAATTAACAATATAAAATTAACTTTGCAATACATATATATAGGATGTATCACATAAAGCGTTACAAGTTATTTTCTCGGAAACTATTAAAGGTAGCGAGGATATTCTTTTTGCAGTTTTTATGGTTTGTTGGGGCTTTTAAATGACAGCCAGGGTACCGTCGCCAATCTCTTAAAAAAGTCTAAAAAAAGCGATACCTTATTTTTTAAACGGAATAATATGTAAATTTCTGCATTTTTGAATAGATCTTTTTTAATAAAACACAATATTTACTTAAAATATTTTCTTTATATTTTGCGTAGTTAAAGAGTTATGAAAAATATTTTCCGTTATAATTCTTTAACTATGCACAAAATATGAAGAAAAACACGTTTTAACTAAATGTTGTCATATTAAAAAAAGATCTATTTAAAAATGCAGAAATTAACATACTATCCCTTTTAAAAAAATGAGGTATCGCTTTTTTTTTTAAAAGATTGGCGGCGGTATTCTGTCTGTCATTTAAAAGGTCCCAACAAACCATAAAAACTGCAAAAAGAATATCCTCGCTACCTTTAATAGTTTCGGAGAAAACATCTTGTAATATTTTATGTGACATACCCTGTGTATGAATGCCAAAGTATTACTTTTTTATATTGTAATACGTTTAATTGGAGTATTTTATACAAAAGGAATAAAGTGCCAGATTTAAGCAATCGAAGAAATCTATAAAAAAAACTCTTACATTTCAAAAATATTTATGTAAAAAGAATTATTATACATCTTTTATAATAATCCAGCAACAGACAACAAATGCAACATGCGTATTTATTCAACTGTTTTTTTTTTCTTTTTTTTTTTTTGTAAAAATGTAAATATATATTTATGTGTAGGTTAATATATAAATAATTTATTAACAACACTAAATTTTAAGCAAACCCAACCATCTCGATTTGAGAAGTAGATTAAGATTCACATTATTACGTCGTAAATTATTTTTACGACATGAAGCCCTACATCGTATATTCTTTTCTCGAAAAAAATTCTCAAAAAATTTATATTTTAGATTTATATTATCGAAATGTAAACACGAATGCACTTGATTCCTTTTATATAGAAAATATCCGATTAATAAAATCTCGATATAAAATTTGTAAAATCTAAAATTGCATCATCGTTCAAATTTTTGCATAATGTTACTAAATGCGATTTCTAATTGTACCAATTTAATTATTCAAAATCCCGCGCTCCTTAAAAAAAGAGGCTGCTCGTTACATTCGTACATTCGCATCCATCTGTATTCTATATTCACTCGAGTAAAAACGATTTGTAAATGTAGAAACGATTAATAGCGAAATAAATTATTGTATATATATACGTAGAATAAGGATATATCTACAAATGAATGTTGTTTTCTTTCATTCGTACCGAATAATTCCTTAAAATTTTATCCTTCAACATTATTAATCCTTGGCGATTTGTATATTTTTGATATGAATTGTGTGTGTGTTTGTATGAATTTATGATTTTTTTAAATGTCTTCCATAGTATAAATTTCATAAGCATATATCACAAAAAATTATCCTCCCATTTGCTTATTAATTTTTTTACCTAAACATTTTAAGTGAAAATTATTGACAGAAAATTTGTTTTATTTTAAGATAACTTATTGTCTGCCCGCATTGTCTTTTCTCAACTTTTATTTCATGGTTTCAAAGATACAAAAATATCTATTTTTTAATTGGAATCTTTTTTTGTCGATATAACTATAAACTATAGTATACATATGTAATGTTATATATTTTACATTTGTTTTAATAAATCTTCAAGTGTTCAAAATTAAGCGGTTCTCGAGATTTATGCGCATCCTTGGTTTCTATCTTCTTCTAATAAGAATTTTATGCGAATGCGCATAGCTAAATTATAGAAAGAAAAGGATTTTTAATTTATATATAATATAAAATATATTATAAATATATAGATAAATTAAAATATATAAAGAAATTAAAATTTAATTTTTTCTTACTTTCTATAATATGCATAATGAGTTTCTAGGATTATACAAACTTTTAAAAACGATTTGCGATATATCATGTACATTGAGGTTACAAAGTAATTTGCAAAGTTTATCTTACCTATCACAGAACAAACTTTAAAAACAAGTACAATTTTACAGATGTTTTTTAAAAAGTTCGATTTAATGATGAAAAAACAAATTTCGAAGAATAAATATTTAAAATGGCATATCTCCTATATTGCAAACTTTGCAAACATTGCAAATTTTCTAGAATAGAAACTTTTTAGTTTTTAATATTTCTTACAACGATACACAACGCATGTCTCAAGCTGATCAAAATTCAGGGAATTCACTTCTGCTCCAAACTATGATCGTGTGGCACGGAATGGCACATTTATGGAAAAGTAACATGGTTATATTACTCGTTACACGCGTATTCTCGAGATACGTAACCGTTATAAAGTCATATTTGATGGGCGCTCGTCGGGAATACACGGACGGAGAGGCGTGTGTTTGTCAATTAAGTGGAAAAACGTGTTGATTTCACGCATGGCTCGGGATTACGGGCACAATGGAGATTGTTTAAAAGCGCTTTGTTGTCGGGAATGGGAAGCGCGGACCACCATGCCGCGTCGAACCGTGGCCGCGACCCATCCCGACTTTTTTTCAACGTACCCGGCTGCCTTTCTGCGCTCTCCTTCCATGGGAGTCCGCGTAGCGTGCGTAATAAAAAGGATTATCCGTAATTTCTGCCTCTAATGGAGACGGGGGAAGATTTAATAAGGACTACTTCAGCGAGTCACGCTCGTTGGTGGGTCTCGTTGCGTCCCGTGATACATCTAAAGGGAGTATAAGACAGAGAGTGCGAAAGAGAGTGTAAATAATTTTTGATATCGATTCTCCTCTCTCGCGTCATAAACGGTTACTGAATGATAATGAAACTCGGAATATTTTAAACATTTGTGTGATGAATTTAATTAAATAAAATCTAGAAATGTTTACCAAGTCAGATTTGCAACAAATAATATTTCCGTCATGTACTTTCAAATTGTATGTAAAATATTTCTGATTTATATAATATAATTTGTAATTTAAAAATAAATACGCACATGTAATACATATTGTTGTCATGCTAAAAATATATAATCGAATTATGATAGATATATCATTCGCTATTTCCTACATTATTGATTTTTCACAAACACGCTAAATATCTTAATTATTTTAGAAATATCGAGAAACTTTCTCAAACGATTAACGCGTCGATTCAGATGACCGCAACGAGAATTACCGGGTATCCCATGACTCGATTCTACAAGAGAGTAAAATGGATCGACATCGAAAATGTGCATGATTATACGAGATATCGCGATTGGCAAACCGTCATAAGCGACTAAATAATGGCGACGCGATAGAGCGCCATTATTACTTTCCATCGGAAACGATTTATGGACAAAGCAGTCGCGATAGAACTCAACAGCGGCACATCGACCTCGTACGATCAATCGTTACGCTCTATAACTACGCGAATCGATTATCGTTAATAAAGCTCGTTAAGGCAGCGCTCGGCAAACAAGTCTCTCTCGGTAGGGTATAGTCCCTCACCTAGAGGTCACCTGGAGTAGTAGTAGTTTACGTCAACCAGCAGTTCGATTTAGCGTGCGCCGACCGCGTACTAGCGGTAAAATATTTACAATAAGAATCGCAATGAGATAAGCCATAAATATGACGCCTGTTTTTGAAACCTTTGCTCTTTTCTAGCAAGATAAAAATATTTTAGAGATATAAAATATATGTGTGATAAAAATAGGCAGGTAAATCAGAGCCCAAAAAATATCAGATTCGGGAAATATATTTTTTTGGTGTTTTGATATACTCTTTCGTTTACTTATAAATAGTTTAGTAGCAGTTTAGGTTAATATGAATATATGTCCAATACCCACAGCAAAAATATTTTAAATCTATATATTTTTTTATAAAGAAAACATGAAGATTATCATATTTCACGACTCTATTTTTTCAAGTATTAATGACTCACAATAAAAATTTATTCAGTAATATAACATGAAATGTTTTTTCCTGCTTTCTCATTCAATATTATATTCATAAAACGTTAAAATTTTAAGTTTTTGACATAAGTATAACACACTATCCTTCAGTTAACAATCGCGTGCAAGTGTTTTATTTTATATTTTCAAAGACCAATATAAGCACAACAATCTGAATAGTATAATTATTGACATAAAGATATATGTATAGATAAATATTTTTGTATATATTTTAAAACAATTTTATGAGACAGTTTCTCTTGGATATACTTTCCTTTTATATGTAGATGTACATGTGAAATAAATTTTTTAAAACAACGCAAGGATGTGTGTGCGTGTGTGTGTTATAAAAATCGGAGCAGGAGAATTCGAAAAATCAATGTTGAAAGTCAGCCGTTTATCCGATTAGATTAGTAGATTACGAACGCGCGCGTTCGCGCTCGGGTCATTATTTGTGCCATTATAACGCGGACCGAAAGCAAGGACTTAACAAGGCTTCGAGCAAATTCATGCGGGGAAAAACAACGAAGTCGGAGGATCGAAGCCGTGGCGGGGCGTACGTGCCGATCTGCGGGATAGAAAGGGACACAAACGGAATTACCTTTGGTCTCTACCTTTCTCAGTCCTCTCATCGTTGCCTTCGCTCTTTCTCGCGCTCCTCTTTTACTCCTATACTCTCTCTCGCTCTCTTTTTCTTTCTCTAACAACCTGTTCTTTTATTGAAAGCAACGTGGGCCGCGCGAGTATTACGTGACTCAGTGATAACGCTCGGTGCGATACACATTGTGCAAATCGACGAAACCAAACTCGTTACTAGGCAAACATTCCGGCTGGGAATCAGTGTAAAGGCCGCTCCGAACGAGGTGATGTTTATCCCAAATCAAGCATACCTAGATGCTTATTTAAAAGTAGATATAATTT